CTAACTTTTCTTTGGAATAAAAAAGCTCTCTGATCACAATGAATATTAAAGCAATAATTAACAAAACACGATTTATTTTGTTCTGTGGCAACAGCTTTGAGTACCTACTTGCATGGTCCCAGTTAAAAATACGAGTATCAAGCTCCACATCGGGAGAATCATCAGGTCGCTTGGTGTAGGACGAGAGCGTTGGTTTCAGAAGACACTAACGCCTAAGTGTGTGGGATCGAATCCTCGCGACCTCTGATAGTTTTACAGATACAGGCCGGCATAGGGCCAGTCGTTTGTTGACGCTCCAGATCGATCATTTTAAATCCAGCAGCGTCGCTGACGTGGGGGTTGGAAATGTCGCGGGCCTGCACTTCTCAAAATAGAGGTAGGTATGGACTTCCCACTGCTGGACTCCTCTGGTCATAATGCTGGACTCCTCGGTCCACCTACACGCTACCAAAACGTATATAATTAGGTACTCGTATCTACAACACGCTGCTCAGTCATTTTGTAAAATGGCTAGGTATTTTGTAAAATGCCTAGGCATTTTGCAAAATGACTGGAGACTCAGTCGTAAAATGCCTAGGCTTTTTGCAAAAAGCCTGGAAAATCAGGCATTTTGCAAAATGCCTAGGCATTTTACAAAATGACTGATTTTCTAAAGTGCCTGCAACATATGCATTCCGTCTCATTTACTTAGCCATGTTAAAGTATAGGGCGCAATTGGGTTCTAATTGCGCCATCCCCCTGGCGCAATTTACAGCAGTTGTTGGCAAATGCGCCCTTTTGCATGTTTCTGAAAAAAACAGCTGTCAGGAGCAAACGAAACATTTTCAATTGATCGGAAGACTCTTAAATCGTAGCCAATGAGTTCCTCTTTGAAGTGGTTACCAGTGCATGCTTATATTACCAGCGGTTTTCTTACAAATAGCGTTTTTCGTTAAGGTGGCGCAATTCACCCTCCTTCCCCTAAAATTGACGGGGCTACACCACTACTATCTCAGATTTTTGACATTTTTGAGTTTCGACCTGCTTAGCTCGGCCCCCAATGTTTTTGATGTAGAGCTTTGCACTTCAGCAATACCTATGTACATATATCGATGAAACGTTTGAGATTCTTGCTTTCAGTGGCTTCGTACTTCAAAATGCGTTAGTTTTCATGTTTGGCAAGTTTTTCTTCGACTTGGTACCAATTATTTTACTACGGATTACCATAACGCGCGGCGAATTTAGCGAAGTTCAAAACCGCGTCGAGCTACTGCGGTTCTGCTTGGGGTTCTGTGGGAGGTCGAAAATGTTTTGATTTGTACGCCGCATCTGGACACCGGGATTGGCTGGACAGAAACGGCAAGGGGGGGGGGGGGGCGGTCGGCAACGGCAACTCTTTGTCCTTTGGTACGTGCTCTTTGTCCTGATATTTTTTGTTGACAGGTAGAATGCCGCCAGCGCTAAACGCCGGCGCGGAGACACATCAACTTTGAATATAATGCATGTGCCACTCGGTGTTAACAGCTAGAGCTCTGCTGAATGACCGTGTTTCACATCTGATTGCGGTTTACAGATGTTACAGGTATTACTCAGTGAGCATCTATTTACACAGTTGGCCTGAGCAGAGGCTCTCCCTGCTAACGTCTTTATCTTATTTTATCTTATCTTGTTTTATGCTATTTTATTTAATTTTATTTTATTACTTAATTTTATTTTAATTTACTGTATTTTATTTTATTTCATTTTGTTCCATTATATTATCTCGCCGGAATGTCATGACTCAATGCCTATCCTTCTTATGACCTGCAAGTTTTGAACCAGTTAGAGCTGCCGTTTACCCTGCAGGCGTTTACCCTGCAGGAAATGTCCGGCATCGTCAAAACCCGCAGGCGTTTCCGCCCTTGCGTCGAGGCCGTCGCCGGCACAGACGGTGGTTACCGGTTACAATGAATGGGCACTTAGCAGAAGCATGTGGCTTGGTGTTCCTGTTCATTGTTTTGTTGTATTGTTTAGTATCTATGGACTAAAGGCATTTATTTTAGAAATGTTGAAAAGCGCCAGGGCTTTCCGGACACCCTGTAGTATTAAAGGGACCCTCCCACCTTCAAAAAGTTTATGAATTGGCATGAAAGTGATGTCGCTCGGTTCAGAAAGAGCGAAAACGAATATCTACCAAATTTCACCAAAAAGTATTCACCGGTTTTCAAGATATTAGACTTTTACTTTTGTTTACTTTTTGGGATCTCCGCTGTTCCTAGCGACTTTAATTGGAAGCAATAGTTTGGCAGCTGAAAGTGCGGCACTTGTTGCGCGCAAAGCAGCATATACCACCGCGTGCTACAAAAACGTTTTAGTCAAACATTTAAAAATCGTTAGATATCTGCGCTGATGTCACACATTCAGAGGGGTATTCCTATGCATTAGCCCCTCTGAATCAAAATGCTGCAATTTTGAAATTCAACATTTCCGATTTAAGGCATTTCTCGATGTTGTGAGTGCCGAAACCGGTAATTGTGAGCCAGGGACCCCATTTTGGCTACCTCAACTCAAATCTAATGTTAAGGTGGGAGTGTCCCTTTAACCCGCGTCCTGCTGTTTGACGCCCGCAAGGGGGTGTCTCACGTCCGCAAAGGGGTGTTTGAATACCCCCTTGCGGTTTTTTCGCGAATATCTCAAAAATGACGGCGCGAAGCGCCGCGTTTTTGGCACACCTTATCATGCATCTTTTCTACATACGTTGTGAAAATTTCAGACCCAGGTCATTTAAGGTCAGGTCACCAGGTCAGGTCAAGTGACCCCACTTGCCAAAGCTACACCGAGTGACTGATCGCTTTGAAACTTTCAGCAATTGATGAGAGCAACATTATGTACAAAATGTGTATCTGGAAATTTTGATATCGGTGACCTAAGGTCTGGTCAGTTTTGCGACCTCCCCATTAGGTATAGGTACTGTTGAACGTTCATTGTGACATATATGACTAGATAAGTGAAACTTTTTTAAATATAAAGGTACTGTATTATAGAAAGCCTTCGCAAACGCGTTTCGAATAGATCATCTTCAGTGCTAGCTTCCCATAATACAAAAAGAATTCACCATTTTCTTTTTGTATTATGGGAAGCTAGCACTGAAGATGATCTATTCGAAACGCGTTTGCGAAGGCTTTCTATAATACAGTACCTTTATATTTAAAAAAGTTTCACTTATCTAGTCAAACAGGTATAGGTACCTAAGTCAATGGGAGAAAATTGAAAGTCACCATTTTTAGACGGAAGTTGTTATAAACACTCTAAAACACTGAATTATTAGCATTGACACACAACAAAAAAAACATGGAAATGGCACCCGTGACATCTTTTTATGCCCCTGAGGTCATCTCAGGTCACTAATGGTATCTGACTGTTTTTCGCGAATAACTTTTGATAGAGGCATGCTAGAGCGATGAAAACACCTTAGATGTGTTTGGCTCGACGATACGGATTTGACTGATATGGAACTTAGCCCTTATCGGTCAGGTCATGACCTTGACCTGAGGTCAAGTTTTCAAGTCGATCTTTCAAGGGCAAGTGATAGGTCATTCGACGCGTCTTGACAAGAGGAACACGATGCTGGTAAAAGAAAGCTCGTGCAAGGTTTGAGTCAAAAGTTATTGCAGAAAAACGGTTTCCGAAAAAAACGGCTACTTTGGCAGTTTTTCCCCTGCAAGCCAAAACCTCGACGGTAGCTCCAATCCAGGTACTCGGAAAGAACGTTAATAGAGCTATCAAATGCGCTTTTCCACTGCGCTGTAGCTTTATCAGTTTCCGAGTTGTGCGTCGATTTGTTGAAAATTGTCGACATCTGACCTACAAATCGGTGAATACTGAATTTTGACCTTCAATGAACTCTGGTGACCTGACCTTTGACCTGACCAAAGAAGTGACCGAAGTGATTTCTTCTTTATGTTTGACGCTTTTTCGAACGTCGCCTTTCCCGTATTGCTACATGGCCCAGGAGCCGAGTTAGAAGGGGGGGGGTGTTCGAACACCCCCCCCCCCCTGCAGGGCGTGGAAATCCAGGACCCCCAGCGGGGCGCGGGTTTTAAAACTTTCCAATACTCTCCATAGTCGCTACATTGATAACGAAAGGGGGCGTTTTTCCCTCGTCTGTTTGCTTGGTTGGTACTTGGTTGGTTCAGTTGGTTGGTTGTTTGGTTCAGTTGGTTAATTGGTTGGTTGGTTGGCTGGCTGTTTTATAAGATATGCCCTTTCAGACTGGCGCCGCAAGACCGTTTACCTTAGATCCGGAAGAATGGTAGGAATTGGGAGAGACATTGCCTAGGCGGTCACTCTGACAGTGGCTTGTGAGGCTGAGCCCGTGGCCATCCAGCCTCGTAAACGGTCACCCCACCGGAAGAGGGTTTGTCCCTGAGAAGCTTATACTCACGTCAAATGAAAGTGACCCTCCAGCCCGGAGCAAGGAACTTGACGTGTCGAGGAGAAGGGATATTGCGTGTGGAGGATAGATCAGAGGGATAGAGGAATCGGATGGCTTTCCCCTTCCTTCCCCGGTGTGTTACGATGCCGGAGGGGGGGGGGGGGATAAGAACAGCATTAGGGCCCTGGCGGGCGGCGGCACCAGGGCCCTGGTGCGACTATAGCTAGCAAACATTCGCAATTGCACCTAAAAGACGGAACAATTAATAACGCCGCCTCCTGCATGGCACAGGTCCAGCAGAAGCATCTTTCATACATGTATTTTTACAGATACTTAGTATGCTCTGAAGGTGAATGCGTGCACCCATACAGGCTTTAGGCCACGGTAATCGGTAGGCCTACCTAAGGCCCTTTTCCACCCGAGATCACAAGGCACAGGGCGCCACTATTCCTAGCGCCGTGTGACCAGGAAAGCTGAGGTTCTCCTAGCAAGCCTCAGATGGCAGCACCAGCCGGTCGTCGCTGCTGCTGACGGCGGCGGCTGCGCCTGGGGCATGCCCTCGGGGCACAGGCGCGCCGCGCGGCCGCTCGCTCCAACAGGTGTATCGAGACGGCCGGCGGGGGCGGAGCGGCGCGATCCGCAGCGGCGATTCGGACTGGTGCTAGTGATGGTAGTGGTGCTGTTTGGTGAAGAGGGGTTTGTCGACTGTAGTGATCACGCGAGCGTGTGACAGTGAGCGTCGAACTGGTCAGACGAGGTGTGTTACAGCGATGTGTCTACAGTGGAAGAGCTAGCGGCGCAGTTGATCATCCTCTCGGTGTGGGAGGAGGAGGAGCGTATTTGCATCCAGTCAAGGTGAGTCCGCGGTCGAGTGGCCTGTCGGTCTCTACAACAGGTGGTGAGATTAAATGCGGGGGTGACGGCGTCGCGCAGATGACGTCTCGGGATAAGGGCGGACCGCTATGCCTCCAGCACAGCTGACAGCGGCCGGACGCTCCCCTGACGTTCACCGCCGGAGCGGACCGAGTTTTTGCGGTGGTCTGGTGGACGACCGTCTGTCTCCCCAGGCACTGTGTGAGAGACCGGTAATGATCGCTCCAATTGTGGTACCAGCCGTCTTGGTCTCGCCAACCAGCCGTCTATATAGTCAGTTGGTGCACCCGAATCAGGGACCGAATTTTCAGTGACAAGGCACACCTACCTATGTCTGATGCGTTCACGCCAGTCGATTCTCTTATGAAAGAAGTTTTTAGGTGTTTTCTTTATATGCCTTTTTTATTTTAAAGAAGTCGAAATGTGGTGAAGTTAACCTTCCTCTACGATTTGACCTCGGGTATGTTGACATAATACCTACGGTTAAAAAAGTAACCGCACCGGTCACCGAACCGTAATCCAGTTCGCAAGAAAACCAGTTGCAGTGAGCCGAGGAGACTGACATTGGACTGAGTGTTCAAGCGGCACGGTAGCTATATGTATAGTAATTACTTAATTAGCTGATATTGGCTAATGGCTACCGTGGTTTGCAAGAGCTTATATTGTATTTGCTGTTCTTATTCCCTTCTGGAAGCTCAGAGTCGTTCAAATACTTAGGTAGCTATATACAGCCGTGGAGCTGGAAGAAAAAGGCGCGGAAATGCTTGTGTTATTTTTGTCCCGAAGCCTGCGACAAAGCAACAAATACGAGCTTATTTGCTTTTTCACGAATGCATTTGAAAAGAAAACATTTGACCGTGTTAAATCCATCCGATTCATACACATGACGCGCACCTTAATCAGCTGTATTGTATTATATTGTATTTAAGATCATGGGCGATCCACACATGGCGTGGCGATTTCTGCCCAGCTGCCACAGACTAAAAACTCGGTCCATGCCCGCGGTAACATGTCGATCCAATCCCTCCCGGCCTCCGGACCTGCCTCTCGGCCCGTGCTAATGGCACTCCATCTCCGACTCTGGGCACTCCATGTCTGACTCTGATGGCCTACGATTGGTCCCGTGGGAGTGCCAGCGCGAGTGCCATGAGTGCTGTGAGTGCCGCGAGTGCTGGGAGTGAGGTGGAGGTCCGTCAGAGTCCGTCGATTGGAAGCAGATCGAGCGGAGGGAAGTGGGGGAGATCCTTCCACAGCAGATTGTTTTGATTTATACAGCGTGGAGTGAGGATTTAGCTGAACGGATTACCGACTACTGAAGGTGACCACTGCTAAAGCTCGAATAGGATTGGTGGTGGATTGATTTGGGCTGGTCTGTCATGCAACAAACGACAGGCAGCGTTGTTGTGGCCAATAACGAGCTACGTGGGCGTATCACTGACCACAGTCGGATTAGGTGGATTACATACATGTCGCTGCCGTGATTGGTCATTGCTCCCGCAGGGCCGATTCTGATCGTCCAGTCTCGAATCGATGCCTTTGTAGCAGGGCTGCGGAGTCGATGGATTTTAGGGTGACTCCGACTCCGACTCCGACTCCGGATTCAAAAATCGACTCCGACTCCGACTCCGACTCCAACTCCGACTCCGGACGGTTCTATGAATACCCATATCATGATATTGAAGTTCAGAATGGAGATATTTTATCTTGCCTGAAACGATCCCATGTGCATTCCAAAGGCCTTGCGTTGCAAATATGCATTAAAAATAACATGCAGATTTAAAAAGCAGGTTCTGGGGCATTCACCGCCTTCTGTTTCTTTCGCTGAAAACGTTCGTCCAAAACAGAAAAATGACCTATTACCGACAAAATCTAATTTCGAGTGCAGTATCGTCAATCAAACAGGTGCAGTGCATGACGGTGAGCCATGCAGCGTTAACTCTGACTCCGGAGTCGGAGTCGGTAAGATTTGGGCGACTCCGACTCCGACTCCGACTCCGGGCAGAACTGTCGACTCCGACCGACTCCAACTCCGACTCCGACTCCGACTCCGCAGCCCTGCTTTGTAGTCCTTGCTTAGTTCTGTTAGGTCGCCGCATGTTGTTTGAATAACATCGTTAAAGGTAGTGTGCCACCTTTGAAAGATTTCCCATTTTATTTTTCCTATAGGATAAGAAGCTTCTGTTTTTACCTAATATCGCAAAAAAATCAAAAATGGCCCTGAAATAGTGCCTTTTTCGCCTAAAAATTTATCGGTTTTTCGATATGTATAACAACTGTAGTGGGCTGACCTGTAAACAGGCGTCGGCAACAATCGCGAATGCGGCGCACATGTGACAATACTAGCAAAGGTCATTATAGAGTTACGACGTACGGGAATGAGTTATCAGCTGTCTAATCGTAGACAACACAATGTCGAGCCTTAAACTGTAAGCCTGTATTGGTATTGTTTCTTTTATTTGGCTGTCGAACATTATTTATGGTTTGAAATATGATTTTATGTAAAATAATTGATATGAAAAAGCCGTCTCTTAAGTTATGACCCCATTTCACCACACGCAAGTGGCAGAAATGACAATGATCAGCTGACGCATTTTTCTTGGCCGAAGTCAGAGCGCGCGGCCCGACGCACCACCACCGCACCACAAAGTATGAGCAGAAGCCGCGCCCAAAGCCAGGGCCCCGGTAACGTGAGGTAGCCGAGTCGGGGCAGCGTGCGCTGACCCAAGCCGGGGCCGCAGCTTTGGGCGCGGTCTACCGCATCCCCGCGGGCAGCCCCGGGCTATCACATGACACTGGGAGGACGCGCGGCCCCGGCTTGGGTCAGCGCACGCTGCCCCGACTCGGCTACCTCACGTTACCGGGGCCCTGGCTTTGGGCGCGGTCTACCGCACCACCTAACAGGCGTGTTCGAAACCGCAGGAGATGATGGTGAACGGGTTTATCGAAACTTGATTGGATGAGCATATCGGTAATAGCGATTTCAGTGTGTGCATTTATTGTTCATAGTGGTGTGAAATGTGGTTGGGGTACGACCGACAACCCGTCGGGGCGAATTTCGCACTGGGGTACTCAAAATTTGAAGAATTTAAGACGTTTCCATGAGTTTTGAAGGTATGGATAAGTTCTAAAAATCCGGTTCTCCTTATCTGGGCCATTAACTCCATACGGTCCAGGAAAGCTGGCACACTACCTTTAAACGATGTTTTGGGGACTATTACGTACTTAATCGGGAAAGCATTGATTCTGTTCTACTGGTCACACACTCCATTTTGTCTATAATGCATGAGGCCGTCTTAGATGAGCTGATGTAGAGGCTCAATGAAGGTAGGTCATATTTTGCTGCTTTGTGTGCATAATACAACAAGGCTATCGCTGAAACTGTGAAACGAAGGCGATAAATAATGCAGAAATGTGCATGCCCCAAATAGTATAAGTCATATCCTTTAGAGGCTGAGCATTGTTTAAACCCACACCAATATAGTTGCTATGAAATTCATATGTAATTCAACATATTTTTTCAACATAATTTTATATTTGGTAAGGCTTAACGTTTGTTTATGCCCTCGAAGTGTTCCTCCTCCCTATGGAGCCTAAATGGACTGTGCGTCGACTATAGCCTCTCTGCGGCGTCGAAATACGGCCCGAGTCTGGCCCATCGCACCACTCTATTATGCATTCAATTTGTGAAATCTGCACCCGTAGCTCTCGAGTTCAGCCGCGCTTGGCTAACGCGCGCGTGAAAATGAAATTAACTTGAACTGACGGACGATTTCGAAATGGTCCCGGACCCGACCATGCTGGCCGGCGAACACCGGTGACATTTAGTCATGTGGGCATTCGCGGAGCGATGCTCCTCTGTCTCTCTGGTCCCAGCTCGTGACTTGTTAAGTACGGGACAATGCTGTCGGGTGTTGGATAAGTCTGAAAGTTGGACTATGTTAAGCATGCCTTTAGCGATGCCGTGACTGATCCGCAAGGTTCCGTGAGGAAGGCTGGTGGTCCGTTTTAGATGCTCGTGACTGACGGCGCCATGTATGTTAGAAGCGGACGGACATGAAGGACGTCATCCATTTGGACATATGTAGACGCTTTCGTGACACAGTTCGTGATGTTTGTCATGCATCGTGAACAAGGCCGTGGAAATAAATCGTACAATAGATTTAAAATATTGTAAAGGCTTGTCCATAATGTGAATAGTTGAATAATGAGACATTGCACGACTGTGCTCATCTTCCACTTGTTTGACAATTTACCACTCGTTATCATTAGTATCGGTCTGACGCTATACGGCCAGTCCAGGTCGGTTGTGACATCGCTGGCGTTTTCATCGCCCCACTAGACTGTGCTGAGGTCAGCCGTTACCGTCGCCGTCGTTGACCCTTCACTTTCCATGACATTCTTCGCTTACGTATAATCGTTCCGATTCGCCACTCCTTCTCGCATTGTCTCTTGGTTTCCTGTACTTGTACATACACATCTTTGCAAACTCTGCAGGTGCATGCATTTGCATACATCCAAACATTGTCCCTTTCCTTCCATTCCTTATACACGTTTAGCTGTGGCGACCTCTAGCTGTGTCTCTTCTCCTTCCCTGCAGCCCGCCAGATCGACCTCCGCTGGTTTTTAGAGGATCACAATCGCGGTCGTCCGAACCCGCCGCTCTCAGAGAGTGTGAAGGTGTTTTTCCTACCGTGTCACCGGTTCTGTGACCGTGTCGATTTATGGCATTGATGGGAGCGAGTTGCGTCCCGCTGGGCCCCATGATGGTCAGTAGGGGGATCCAATGTGTCTTAGGTATGAGGGCCACCGTTCACTGGTTCTGCCTCTCTTGCCAGCCTCTTTGGAAAAAAGATGTGTCGAATTTTCCTTTTATTTTCTTGAATAATTATTGATATCTCACTGTTAAGTGAGGCTGGATAACATCTTTGGGAGCGTTTATTTAAATAGTTCATTTATTTTCGGTGACATATCAATAGATTTTA